CAATGTCACAACTAAATCCCAGGTGTCCTGCATTTGTTCCAGAAACTGGACCATGAGACTCTAGGGTAAAAGGACAGTTGTTCAGGAAACATTTCTTAGTCTGGGAGGGGAGATGTTGTCATTGGCATCTGCCCAGGCCTGAGCTGGCTGTCCCCATGCCAGCAACACTGGAATCATTAGCCCCAGTGGGCATCTTGCTTCCTCCCCCAACAACTCAGAGATCTGAGGGTCTCGTAGGAGCGTAGGTGTTTGAGGCTTAGGAGAGCTGGCTGTGCCATCAGGGCCTTAGGATACTGTTAGTAGGATAGACTCTGGTGGCTTCCACTCAACGTCTGGTACTGAAACCAAGAAAGGAGATACCGAAGAAGATTCACACACCAGCTTCTGCTGGGATTTCTAGAGGAAATCAATGCATGTTTTCAGCTTTTTCCGCAACATTTTCTCTCTATCCTCTGTCTCCAATAGCCCCCATCCAGCCAACCAGAGACACCAGGCAAGTGAGACATGTTAAAAGACAAGGGAGGTGATTAAAACCCCGTAAAATATTCAGAAGAAACAAAGGTCATAGGGAGCAAGAGAGTCATTGTTTGCGAAGGGGAATCTTTTCCCCCTTTTTGTCTCATATTTGAATTTTCTGCTTGAAGTTGTATTTCTCATATAATTTTTTAAATGATATTTTTGTTTAACTGAGAGAGAGGGATGTGTTGGCTGCAGAAGCTGGGCAGTTGTTGGCTGGGAAGGAAGTGGAGCAGCTGATTTGTTTGGTGAGAAGGAAGCACTGGCACCCCCTGGCAGCCCTCCCAGAGCAGCATCTAGGTTTCATTCACCCTCCGCATGTCACACAGCATTCTCCCACCTTTTGCCAGCCTCTGGGGCCAGAGGTCCCTTGGCACACTATGGTAAGGCTGCTCATTGTACTGACCGATCAAGATCTGGGGCCCCTAAAGGGTGTCCCCTCCTCTGGTCACCACTTAGCCAGCCAGTGTAGGTGCTGGGCTAAGAAACTTCCCCTGTCCTGATCCTCCTGTTGTGCTGAGAAGGAAGAGAGAAGCCTGAGCGCCCTGCTGGGGCCAGGTCACATCGACAGGAGCAGAGTATGCGCGCTGTGGCACGGGCTGGCCCCTGCTGCTGTTTGGCCCTCTACTTGCTGACTCTTGGAGTCTCTACTGAGAACCAAAGCTCGGGCAGCACCTTTGCAGCTGCCCTGAGCCCAAAGAGAAGTCAGTGCCCTCAGTCCCACCAGCCCTTCCCCTCCTGTGCAGCCCGCTCAGCCTTCTGTGCTTAATCTCCTATGCATGTGGTTGGCTGACTATAGCTGCAGGCCGGCCGGTCAGACTGGCTGGTGGTAGTTGGCAGGATCTTCATCCCGTTCAGGGGGTGTTTTGCACTTTTTATGAGAGTGCAGTGAATTAAAACCAAACCACTGCTGAGAAGTTACATTTTGGAAGAACAAGCATGTGGAAGGAACAGTGTTGGGGTGCCTGCAAGCCTGAGAATAGAATATTCTCCCAGCTCCATAAGGGGCCTGTGGCTGCTCTTTATCTCCGGGGACTATGCCCACTGACTTGGAACTTGCTTCTCTGACAATAGCAAGCAGCCGTGGTGAGTGACCACTGAGCCTTTCCAAGGACACACTGGAATCTCCCTCGTGGTGTCAGTGGAAATTCTCCCTTGCTAGAGGGGTCACAGAGCCTTTTAAAAAGAAATGAGAGTAGTTGGGTTTTGTTTTGTGTGTTTTTTTCTCACATTGAAGAAAGTCTACGGCTGACTATTTTCTTTTCCTTTGACCTCTTTAAAAAGCAGCTGGAGTTGGAATAGCTCTGCTGAAATTTTATATGGCCTTTTGCTTCAAGGACTTTGAAATGAGCATTGTTGATTTTTCTTCTTTCCTGTCAACCTCTGTCCTATTTCCCTAGTGTTTTATATTCACTGCCCAGATGCTTTTGAATACAGTAACTCTTGGTATAGGCGGCCTTTTGACTCTCCCTGTGGCTTGAACTATAGGTATATATTCTTTCTGAAAATCAGTAAACACAATTTAGAGCAGAAGCAAAATGACTTTGTTGTCAGCAGAAGGGGAGACTCCAGAGCCCAGAACTGCGGCAACCTCTGCTGTGCAAACAAGGCTTCTGCCTGGTGTGGAAACATCCGTGTCCCCAGCACACAGACCTCTGTGTTATTTAGGCACCGTCCAGGATCTGAGTGTCTGTTTGTTATCCAAAGGGTATAAAAGGGAAATCAAACATTCTTTCATAGCAGTATAAGCCCTGTGCAAACACAGCCCCATGGACAAAGCCCTTTCCCGGGCCCATAACAAGGAGCTGTTTGTCCTGGCCGCCCATCTTTAGCGGTCAGAGCAGGGCTGAGCTGAGAGTGGTGTAATGTGTGTCATTGCGATTTTGTTCTCGTGAGCCAAAGTTTCCCAGGTGTCATGGGACAGAGTTCACCGTGCCCAAGTTGAATCAGAACGCCCACTGGGAGCCTCCAGCAAATGCCACGTCCAGCAGGCTCAGAGCTATGCAGTAACCTGGCAAAGCAATTGCACCCAGCCGTAGAAAAGCCACGTGATCGTTTAGTGTGATTGCCTTTGTGCATGGGGATTCACTGATCACAAACTCCTGTCCGAATGCATCTGATGCAACCAAGGAAAAGCCTGAGCTCAGGGTAAAATATCGTCTCTCCCCCCTGAGCAACAGACATAATACTGCAGCTTCTGAATATTAGTGAGGGCTTGTTTTCCTCACCCAAAATATTTTGATCAATTAAACTCAGACCCATCTGCTTATTTCTCTGATTCCTCAGGTTCACTCGAGTCCATTTGTTCAGTCTTCTAGAGGCTGTGCCGTCCAATGCAGTAGCCACATGCTACACATGGCTGTTGAGCCCCAGAATTGTGGCTGGTCTAGGACGTGTTGTAGGTGTAAAATACACCTCGGATTTTGAAAATTTAGTACCCCCCCCCCAAAAAAAGTAAAATATTGCAATAATTTTGTATTAACTACATGTTGAAAATATTTTGGATCCATAGGGTTCAATTAAATATATTATTAAAACTAATTTTACCTGTTTTCATTTAATTTTAATTCTTATAATCAGTGGCTACTGGAAAATGTAGAATCACACATGCAGCTGGTGGTGTTTGCATTGGACAGCGCTGGCCTGCGCTTGAAGGAAGTGTAGGTTTATAGCGCCATCTGCTGGTGTAAGGTAGACGCTAATGTAAGTAAGAAGGAAGCTGCCTGTGCTGAGAAACGCTTTGTCTCTTGCCAGAGAAACATGCAACCTTCCTTTTCCAGGCGCTTCTGAAACAGAACCAAAACTGAACCCTGAAGTTCCTGCATCGTCAGTAAGGTCTTGGAGAGGGTAGTGTCAAACTGCTGGAAGGTACAGGCCTATGTTTACCTCATGGGTGCCTAAGAGGCCCTAGAGAGCTGTGGTTCTTAAATATTTCAAACCGCCACAGGGTTATAACCATTTAACAATGTAAGGAAGACACAGATCCATCCCTCAAGAGACTAGAGTCCTCTCTTTGGATAATGCTGATTTGCTTTGATTTGTCAAGAATTTGAAAGTAGGAATCTTGTTGATAGCAGTATCTGCATCAGTTATCTAAAGCAGCTTAACAGATCACCCCAAATTTTGTAGCTTAAAACAGCAAAAATTGCCCGGCTGGGTGTGGCTCAGCAGCTGAGCGTCGACCTAGGATCCAGGTGATTGGGGTTCGATTCCTGGTCAGGGCACATGCCCAGGTTGTGGGCTTAATCAGTGACTCTCTCATCATTGATGTTTCTATCTCTCTCTCTCCCTCTCCTTTGCTCTCTGAAATCAATAAAGATATATTTTAAAAACAACAACGAAAAAAAAGCAAAAATTGTTTAACATCTCCCACTGTTTTGTGGGTCAGGAATTCAAGTGTGGCCCACCTGAGAACTTCTGGCTCAGGAACCACATGAGGTGGAAGTCAGATGCTGGGTGGGGCTTCAGTCATTTGAAGCTTTGACAGGGTCCAGAATAATCCACATCCTGGGTAGCTCATTCACATGACTGGTAAGGTGATGCTGGTTGTTTGCTGGAGGCCTCAGGTCTTCTCCACAGGGCTACTTGAGTGTCCTTGAGGCATAGCTGGTTTCCTCCAGAAAGAGCCATCTAGGAGGCCTACGAGGAAGCTGCAACACCTTTGATGCCTAACCTCCGAAGTTACACATCCCATCACTCCTACTGCACTGTATTGGTTGAGGCAGGAACATGCCTGCTCTTGATAGAGGAAGGTCGATACCCTCTTGTAAAAAAAATGTGAGCTGGGATGGCTGTTGCATTTTTGGAAAATACAATCTGCCAAAGCATCTAACACTTGAAGAGCACTGTGAAGCTAAAAAGCATGACCCATTTTGCAGATAAGGACATTGAGACTTAGAGAAGTAAAGTCACTTGTTTGAGGTCTCACACCTGATAGGAAGGACAAAAGTCCAGTTCTCACTCCTTGTCCATGCTGGTATCCACGCCACCTCCCTGTGTCTCCCTTATTTGGCAGTAACCAAGCATCACAATGATTGTTCCATCTTTCTAGCATCTTCAAGGTGTGCAGTGCTCTCTTCATTCAAGTGTTTTAGGTCATTCTTTAGGTGACCTCTTTCTATAAATAGTCATTTTATTGAATTGAGGCTCAATGGAAGTAGGTTTCAACTAGCTAGAGAATCCTTCCTACAAAAATGCTGTAGCAATGAAAAAGCACTTTCCAATATTTTCCATGCTGCTGGCTTCGGAAATCTCAGGAATAATAAGCACAGTGTAATTTGTGTGATTACATCCTGTTCGATTATCTGGATATTACGTCTTATTTATATTTGAAACAGGAAAGAATTAATCACAGCTTGCTTTCAGTAGTTTCTGTATTGTTTAGTCATCTTAAAAAGGAGGTTTTTACCACATTTTGATGTTCTACCTGCCCGAATTAAAACTAAAATCCAGCTTCCGTAATCATTTGTTATTCTTGGTTTCAGGTCAAACTTCCCTTTCCTGTAGATCAAATCACAGATCTCCCGAGGAACGATTTCCAGATGATGATTAAGATGCACAAGCTGACCTCAGAACAGTTGGAGTTCATTCACGACGTCCGGCGGCGCAGCAAGAACCGCATTGCGGCCCAGCGCTGCCGCAAGAGGAAACTGGACTGTATCCAGAACTTAGAATGTGAAATCCGCAAATTGGTGAGTTGACCCGTTGCTGTCAGCACCCTGGAGTGACCAGGACTGATGCAACGTCACAGCAGTAAAGGCTGGGGGAGTAGAGAGAAGGGTCACCATTCAGGGAAGTTTGGGTTTATTTTTAAACAAATTTCTCAACAAAAATAATAGCTTTATATCTGCGGTGGGTGTGTCTGTGCCAGGTGTGTGATCACGTGTTGATATTTTATATAGAGGTAGTTCTTTTTTACTTTCCATTCAACATGGTCTAATAGCTAACATTCATCGCCTGCAGAGATGGACCAGGTATTATTTTAAATTATTTTTGTAGATGATCACATTTAATCCTCACATCAACCCTATGATTTAGGTACTATTTTATTTCCATTTACTAGAGTGGTGGAAACTAGAATGCAGAGGGGTTAGGTAACGCTCCACTGTGTGGCAGAACTTGGCTGCAAACCCAGGTGTCTGATTCCAAATCTTATGTTTTCTCCTGCCTCCCACAGAAGAGTGTAGGTTAGAGGTGGGGACGCCTGCCTACTGTGTGGCAGCTGATCTCCTGAAGCCCTTCGCAGCCCCAGGGTCTTTGGTTTTTAATTCTGCCTCAAAGTGGCTGCCACGCCTTCCCTATGCCTGAGAGTATTTTGTCTCGGGGAACTAGTTCCCATCTCCCAAGCTCCCTGTCACTCAGAGCTCTGTGCCCCCTTCTTATTGATAAGCAACCTTAAGCTACAGGAAGTAAATCCAGGTGGCCTTACTCCTGACTGTAGCTTTGAATGCAGCCAGTGCAACCTCATTCAGCTCAACCTTTCTTCTGACCAAATACTGGAAACTCAGCTCAGATGCCATGTCTGTGTCAGGGAAGAAGAGGGACTCCACATAATGTCATGATCTACGTTTGGGTCCTCGGACTGCATGCAGCAGTCCTTTACCTCCTGATAAGCCACCATCCTGATGCTAACCTAAGAACAAGTTACCTGTAGGAATTCTGGCCCTGTGCTCTTCTTCAGGTGGTGAAGTAACTCTAATCACCCACATTTGAGGAACACCTGATTTTTGTTGTCAGCATTCTCCATGTGACAGTGTGATACTAAAGCATGAATAAATGTTACATGTTATCAAGGTAGTCCTGGACCTCAGAGTCTTTTTTTTTTAATTTCCATTAACACCCACCAAGCAGGGAAAACCTGCCCATCTTCAGTGGCTCCTATCACCTACAAAATAAAGTCCAAGCTCCTTAGCAAGGCTCAGTCTATAGCTGCCCTCCAACATCCTTTCACTCCCTCCCTAGAACTTGACTCCTAATAAAATCAAATTGTCTTCACCCCACCACCACCACCACCACTGTCTTTATACCTCTGTGCCTGTGCCCCAGTTGTTTCCCCTCTGCCTCGGACACCCCTCCACTGTTCTCTGACTCTGTCCTTGTTCTTTAAGTCTCAGGTTTCTGTCACCTCCCCAGGAAGGCCCTTTCCTGAGTCCCTGGTGAGTCTGGGCACCCACCCCTGAAGCTGTGATCTGACCTCCAGCTTCATGCTTATCACATTAGTCTTACATTGTCTGTGCATGTGTCTACCACCCAGCCCCTTGCCCACAACTGTAGGTTTTTTGCGACAAGGACAGTTATGTGATCATCTCCAGATTTCCAGTGCAGACCCACTAAAGCCTCTTGGGAAATGTCCATTGCCCTAAGTTTTATTAGAAATTGTGACTGGGTCATGGGATTATGAATTCCTTCTTTCACATCTTTTTAATGTTGTTTTAAACACAAGAAATTTTTTTTTTAATTGAAGCCACAAAGGGAAGCACAGCATTGCTGCTGGTGAGTGGGAGTCTTCTGAGAGCCTACTGGGCTTAGGTGGGGAACCAAGAAAGCCTGAGCCCACAGGTATGAGTCACCAAGGTCCTAGGCACATGTCTATAGGAATTCCGGCCCTACATGCTTCTTCAGGTGGTGGAGTAACCCTAATCACCCATATTTGAGAAATGCCTGATATTTGTAGTCAGCATTATTCTCCGTGTGACTTGTGTATACTAAACAGATAAAGTCTGAGCCACCCACCAGGCAGACATCTAAGGTACTTTGCTAACATTCTTCATTGGGAAGGCAAGAGGGCATCTCCTGGTTCCCCCCCACACTTTTTGGAAACTCCTTAAATAACATGCTGCATTTCACTGCTGAATGAGTTCCCCCTGCTCGTCAGTATTCCGCTAGCCATGCCTTAGAGCTCCCTGCTTTCAACCAAGCCGTGATGTGTGCTGCCTTTCCTGCAGTGAGCCAGGGCACTGCCCACACAGCGCTCCATTCTCTTCCTCTAGACAGTGCCCCGGGACTCTCTGCCCGTCAGTAGGTGTGGAGGGGCCGGTGGCTTGGCCGAGATGATGTGGCAGAATTAAGACGGAGATTCCCCCCTCCGGGCTGGGTGGTGGTGCCTCTTACTTTACAGACTTCCAGGTTACAGCGCAGAAGGTCCAGGTTGCACAGCCTGGATGAGCTTGGTTTCTTATCCGCCTCTCTCTAGCTGGGGTGTTGCACCCACTCTCCTGGTCTGAGTGGCAGACATCTCTGTCCCGCCCACAAGTCCCCAGAGCGCGCGCACACTCCCTTCTCCCACGCTGTCTCCGGCATGCCACTCAGCCTTTGCAAACTTGTATAATGTATTTCTCTCAAGTTGCACTTGTACATCTGTTTATTTTTCATTTTTAAAACATGTTTTCTTGGAAAATTTATAAATATTTTAGCAGGTGCCCTTTCCCATACAAATCTCTGTCTCTGACAGACTTGCCCGCGTGCCTGCCAGGCTGCACTCACTAAGGGCACGTGCAGCTCATGAAGAAGCCCCCCGTTGAATGTTTTCCCCACTCTCTCTCCATGTTCTCCCATTTCCTCCTCACTCCTCCCACCTACCACCGTGGCAACGCATTGGTGAGGACTTACTTCACGCTGCTCCAGAAGTCCAGTTTTTCCATCCATTTCACTGTGTGCCCTCCTTCCTGGAGCCTCCTGATCCTCGGTCCCCACACAAATAGTTGTGGTGAAACCTTAATCAGTCTCCCCTCTGGTGGCTAAATTCGTCTCTCTGAGGGGGTGATGGATTTGAGAAACACAGGAGCTTGTGTGGGATTTTCTGTAAGGAAAATATCTCAGACACTCAGCCCCCACAGCTCTGCCTGCCCTCTTGGTGTCCAGGGAGAATCAGCACTGGGCCTCACTACACGGTCCTCAGCTGTCCTACCCAGCGTCTGCTGTGCTCAGTCTGTCTGCTACAAAGGCCAGAGAGCCATCTGAAATTGCCAATGATCAATTTTTTTTTTAATTTTCATTTTTTAAATACTTTCTTTTTTAAAGAAGTTTTAGGTTCATTGCCAAATTGAATGGAAAACACAGAGTTCCCATATGCCCCCTGCCCCTACATACTCTCAGCCTCCCCCATTATCAACATGCCCCACCAGAGAGAGTTACAATATTTGTTACAATTGGTGAACCTACACTGAGGCATCAGAATCACCCAAAGTCCACAGTTTATATGAGGGTTCATGCTTGGTGTACATTCTATGGCTTTGGACAAATGTATAATAACGTATCCATTACATAGTATCATACAGAGTAATTTCACTGCCCTAAAAATCCTCTGTGTTCTGCCTATTTATCCCTCCCATCCCATCCTACCCCAAATCCCTGGCAACCACTGATTTTTTTTACTGTCGCCATAGCTTTGCCTTGGTGGGTTATTTTTGACCTTCAAAAATGGCAATCTAATACATCTGCAGGAGATTTTCAGCTACAAGGTTTGGGACCAAGAGTTTTCCAGTTGATTCTCTGTGAACCCCAAATTCCAAGAAACTGGAACCTTGACTCCCAGAAGTTTTCTGGTTGGTGGCGATTTTACCAGTTGCTTGGCCAGGCCACCGAGAGAGATAAAGAGCTGCCACAGGGAAGGTTGTCAAGATCATTGCACATCTGGATGGGCTACTCAGATAAGAGACTTGGCAGAAGTGTATATCCAGGCTCCCAGGATATATATTTTTTAAGTTTCTAGATCCTGACCCAGTCACTCTTGACTATAATGTAGGACGCAAAAACAAAAGTTGGAAAGCCCCCAGAAACGAGGTGTTGGGTCTTGCAGATCAGGCTTGATCAGGCTTTCTTTTGTGTCTCTGATGTCCAGGTGTGTGAGAAAGAGAAGCTGTTGTCAGAGAGGAATCAGCTGAAAGCGTGCATGGGGGAACTGCTGGACAACTTCTCCTGCCTTTCCCAGGAAGTCTGCCGAGACATCCAGAGCCCCGAGCAGGTCCAGGCCCTGCATCGGTACTGCCCTGTCCTCAGACCCATGGGTCTCCCTACAGCCTCCAGTATTAGCCCTGCGCCCTTAGGCGTCGAGCAGAACCTTGCCACCCCCCAGTGTGCGGTGGGGGAAACTGTGCCCTGCTGTTTGGAGCAGGGTGCAGCTCCCCCTGGGCCTCCCTGGCCCCCCAGCAACGCCTCAGAGAATTGTACGTCTGCGCGGAGGCTGGAAGGCACTGACCCAGGAACCTTCTCAGAGAGAGGGCCTCCTCTTGAACCCAGGAGCCAAACGGTGACCGTGGACTTCTGCCAGGAAATGACTGATAAGTGTACAACTGACGAACAGCCCAGGAAAGATTACACCTAGTGACTCGACCCTCCTCCTCATTCTCACATCTCCCACACCAGGTGGCGCCGTTCATCGGTCGTCTAGAAGAACCAAGAAGGACTATGGTGCACACTACAGCAGCGGTCTGAGCAGCAATACTGTTTCTAAGTATTCCCTCCTCTCTTCACGCAGGAGTGATATATAGTTACCTTCACAATGGTGCTACCCCTTGCCCCGGCAAGGAAAGACAGCAGTGATGACACTGTCTGTCTGTGGGTTAATTTCAATCTTAACAGGGATAGACTATAACACCTCTAGGACCCAACCACGGATTTTTTTCTCAGTGGCCCATGTCACAAACCCTATCTCAGGAATTTCTTCTGAATGTTCAATTTTTTTCATCGAAGACAGCTTCTATACACATCAAAGTTTTATAGCTAGACTGTATATATTATATATAATATATATATAAAATATATATCTCTCCATATGCAAAAGTCCTGCATGCCTCAGTTTTCTCATCCTAAAACTGGAAGCTTCATTTCTCATTGACAGACAGGTTCTGACATTCCTCTTCTTTTGTCTCTGATGCTAGAACTAGATTGATAACTGTTCACATGGTCATTTTTCTTGCTTCGCAGTTCAACTTCAACTTATACTTATTTATGGACAGAATTCTATGTTGGAGGCTTTTACTTTAAGGTTTTGTTTCGGACAACCTTTTCTGTTTGTTTGGTTTGGGTTTGGCACCGTCAGATGGTGTCATCTGAGCACCGTGGGTTTGTCATTTGTTTCTGCAGACACTGTACAGTCATGGTCAACTTTGCCACTTGCACTGAGTTTTGGGTCAAACCTATTTTCTTAAATGAAGTTGTAACTTCGGTATAGCTCAAGTATACTGTATATTCTTTGCTTTTAGTTTAAAAGTAAAAACATTTTAGCTAATTAAAAACCACTCAGGTGATAATTATGTAGGAAAAAAACAATCTTGCCAAATAACGAATTCATCCTAGGATGTGTCGACAATAATCTGCTTGAATATTTTTATATTTCACCTCCTCCCCACCTCTCCTAAGCAAAGTGGAAATGCAGACAGAGAGTTCTGAGTGGATGTTGGATGTTCAGATTCCTGAGTGGGGAGAGAGTTTGGGCATCTCACTCGAAAGTGCAGCAAAACAGTAGGAATCCACGATTTTATACCAGAACTCCAGGCATTGGCTCCTAGAAATCGAATTAGAACTGTTTTCTCACCCAGAGAGTAAGTCCCATTCATTTCAACACTTCATCTGGCCTCACTTGCTCCTGGAAATGTAGTGCAGTAGGACCTTCTCCTTAGAAGGGCCTGGCTGAGCAGGACTGGCCTCCCAGGAGATCTCACCTGGGGGGATGAACTGCAGCCCCAAGGCCCTGCCTCTAAGTGGCTGCCCTGGGCTAGTGTAGCTCACCCAGAGTAGGAGAGAGCAGGGCAGAAGTGAGCATGAGGTCTGTCCCTGACACAGACAAAAGCATTTCTTTCTTTCTTCTCCAAATGCTTTAAGTTGAATTCTGAGGTTTTCTGCCAGTCTCTTGTCCCAAGGCAGATTTTACTCTTTGAGTCTTTGGACAGGATATGGCCAGGAGCTCTCCCTGCCCCTGCCCCCACCACACACACACCTACCCTCACCTGATGATCATATTCTTCTCTTGCTGCAAAACTGGTTGGCTTGCAACCCACAGAGAGCAGCTTCCCTTGGCTCTGGGGGCAAGTTGGCCCCTGGCCATGTTTACAAGAAAGTGTGCTGAGATCCCACAGCCAGCTTCAGAGGAGGAGGAATCAGCTCCCTCCCTCCAGCCGGCCCTCCAGCCTGGCTGTGGGAAGAGTCCCTAAGGGTTTGATGTGGGGGTGGGGTGGTGGGCAATGGGGACTAGATGGTTGACTTTGTTTCTTTATTTGTGCCATTGTTTGAACAATATTAAAGCTGCATGTAAAAGGGGGAATTAGTATATGATGTAGGCGAAAAGTGAAATCATAGTAACATATGTTTTAGTATTAACTTTTTTCTGTACAAATATTAGCGCTAAATGTTTAAATATGTATGAATGCCAGAAATCTGTTGGTTCATGCGATAGGATTTAAAAAAAAAAAAAAAAGGCTTTTCTTTTCAACTAGTTCCACTTTTAAAACCTGCCTCTGGGTTTTCGTTATCTCATGTGTGTATGTGTGCGTGTATGTGTGTGTGTGTGCGTGTGCACTTGTCTGAGACAGATTTTGGTAAAGCTCTGTACTGGAGCTCCCGTTGTTACCACGGTTGTTGGCATTTCTTGGCCTAGTAGACCCATTCTGCGCTTCACCTCGAGGTTCGCCTCTGTGGAAAACTGGTGACAGCTCGAATTTAAACTCAATGTGAATCACGTGATCCATCACAGGTGTGTGTTATGGTGGAGTCAGCCAACAGTATTTTGTTTTTAACTCTCTTGTTGCCTTTTTTAAGTGACCTCTTCTTTTTTAAAAAAGGAATGTTTTCTGCTCTTATCATAACCAGGTCCAAACCAACTTGTTGGCATGCTTTAGCCTGGAAACGACTCATGTGCAACTGGTAGTCTTGACCACATTCCGCCCACACCTTCCCGTGGCTGGGTCTGCACAGCTGTGCCGCAGCCACTTCCAGTGGGGAGGGCTCTCTCCACCCAACTCAGCCCACATCCTCCGCCTGCCACCCCCCACTCGCTTTTATTCCCCTCCCCAACCAAGCCCCTGCCGTGGGAACTGGTTAAAAACACAGCTTGAAAATCTGTCTTTCGATTTCTTAGAGATTCTTAGCAAGTTGTTCGATTCTGTTCGGTACCCACCATGATCAACGACTGGTTTTGCGCAATGTGACATGTCCGTGTCTGTTACTGCTCTAAACCATGTGTTTGTCAAGATTATTTCTGGGTTAATTCAAAGGGAGGACTAGTTGGGGACCAGAATCCAAAATGCCTCAGGTGGAATTTTAAAAACCAGCCTGTCTCCTTTCCCTGGGCTCCTTTAGTGAAGCCTGTGTCTTTTATGAGAAGGAAAAGCAAGTTAACGGCAAGGAATCGTGTTTGCTCGGCACGGTGACATTTGGTTGTGTTCTTTAGGGTCTTTCTTACCAAAATAAAGGACCCTCCGGCCATGGACTGTTTAGGAGGAGGATTCCCACGACAGCCGAATTGGGTCTCTAAATGCCTGGGATTGGCATGGGTTGTTGGGGCAGGGACAGTGGGGGTGGCCCGATAACTAGTTAGCAGCCGCCTGAATCCAGTCCTCCCCTTGGATCTACCTTTGTCCTACGTGTGTCTCCAGACAACCTCAGTTCATTCAGGTGGGTCAGGCTTTGGGCAGGCGAGTGCTTTGCTGTGTGTGTTTGTTTCTCTGCGTGATCTGGGGGTGCCTTGAGTAATCGAACTTCATTACGTACTGATTCTGGAACAAAACAATTGCAAAGGAAAAAAAAGCAGGCAATTCCTAGGCCCTCCTGCTGCTTCTCTCCGGTTCCCTAACGATGACTCAGGCGTCAGAGGTGATGCTGCAGAAAAGGTGTTATTTTGTATATTGTACCAGTAATTTATTAACTGTCTTTCTAAAGGTATGCTGCTTTGAAGATGCACTATGATTTTGGATCTAATCCTCGCATTGCTTTCCCAAGGAAGTAAAAAAAAGGCTGGTGATTAGTATGCCAACTGCCACTTCTTGAAAAGGAGGGCAGGGAGCCACGAGAGGGCTGCATGAGAGACCTACTAAGGTCGCCTAGGTGCAGTGTGAAGTTCAGTGCTGTTGTCAAGAGGTCTAACCCTACACTTTCTCTTTTAATACTTACTGATGGCCATGAAAGAAGAAGAAACAAACAAAGGTGTGAAAATTATAAGCCATTTGGGAAACCGCCAAGTCCTGCCCCTGTGAGCTGATCCACTGTGCAGAAGCATAACCCTCTTGAAATGAACAAAAGCCTGCCAAGCTCTTTCAAAACCCTTTTTGGCTGCCTAGCTCTACACATCATACCCCATTTAAACTGGGAGCTGCTTAACAAATGATTTCAAACTCCACTATCGTTGAGTTTGGAGGAGTCATAGATCTAGAAGGAAGCAAGAATCCAGTCTTGTCCTCATTACTGTAAATCAGGGGCAGGGAACCTTTTTTCTGCCAAGGGCCATACAAAATTACCAACTTAAAAATTAGCCTGCTATATTTGGTCAAACATCTAATTAACTCACCCCTAATGTGATGGCTGGAAGTGCTTCTCTTTGGTGAGGCTTTGGCAGGGCCAGACCAAATGACGTCTCGGGCCACATATGGTCCTCGGGCCAGATATTCCCCACCCCCACTGTAAATAAACTAAAGAACATAGATTTTTTTTTTTTTTTTTTTAAAGAATAAAGCTATTCACTGGATCGTGAACTAGTGTTTTTTCCCCAACTTGAGGATGTTGTTATAGGTTCAGTTTCTGGCAGGTCAGTCCTCAGTGCGGTGCCCTGTGTGGAGTTGGCATCTGCGCAGGAAGTCCGTGTGCAGGCAAGCTGCATGTTAACCCTGCAGGAGCCATCCCACGACCCAAGCATCAAAGGCAGATGCTGCAGAATAGAAGATATTTGTACTCAAATACTGTGTGCAAATAGTATTTGTACATAGAAAAGACCTATTGTGGCAGATTAAGGATAAATTATTCAGCGGACGGTGCAAAACATTTGCAAAGCAAAGTTAAGTGTATTTTCCTACACTCCACCCTGGGAGATAATTTATATCAAGTGACTCAGTGTATTTTCACTGTCATGAGGAGATGACGCTGCTGTTTGTGAAGGGTACCCACTTGGTTGCAGAGGCCCACGTCCATAGCTCTGATGTAATCATATGGCGTGGTGTGCGAATTTCACTATCAAGCACTGGACAGACAGCTCTGACTTTCACTTTCAGTCCAGTTTACTGACCTCAGATAGAACAGTGGCCCTCCTTAGAAGCAGATGGGCACCAAGACCGTGCATTTCAGGTAGACGCGCATTCAGTGCCAAATGCTCCCGTGGGGGTGATTGGACGTGTGTATCAGGAAAGGGTAAAGGGACTTGGACAAACAGGGGTTTTCCTACAGATTGATGCTAAGTCTTCTACCAAAACATGTCTGGAGGCAGAGGGGTCCCCTCCGCTTGAGTCCTAGCAGTGCATTTTGCATGTGTGAATGCTGAGGTGCCCATTCACGCTCTGACGTAGGAGACCTGCCATGTCTAGCGAGTGATCAGGAAGATTCCAGATGCATTCGGGAGGTTCAGGTGCTGGTTAGACCCCGTAGGCCATTCAGGGCAAGTACCACCTTTGCTTGTGAGGCCAAAAGGGCCTGCGAGAATTTGTTCCAGAACCAGTCCGATGCAAGTGCACCTCTAATATATGCCTTACAAACTCCAGAGGCCATATTCAAAACAGGGTCTTCTCAGTGTATGCAAGGGGCCGCAGCCCCTCTCCTCCTCCTCCCCAGGTCAAACAATACGGACAGTTTCACACATATCTACCTGTATAACCCTCTGTACCTCTCATAACTGGTCAACGACTGTAACAGGTTACATCAGGTGTTTTTCTACATACTTTTTACACAGATTCTATGCGATTAATGTAACTTAATTCAGTGCATCATTTTATTGTACTAGTTCTTAGGCTTGTCCTTTTTTTTCTAAGTGATTGTGGTTTTTCTTGTGGTTTTTATTGTAAAGATGAAAACAGCTGTCGATGCTTATTCTCTGTAACTAAGAATTTTTACCATTTTGGGGGGGAAAGCGTTGCTATGAACTAATGAATTGAAACTTCATTTACTCGTTGTAAATACACTATTGTGCAAAAACAATTTTTCACTCAATTGAATTGCTAGTGTTAACTGAATTTTGTCTAGACACCATTTCTGTTGATGAAATAAAGACATATCATTATGCATTGTAAACTGAGTTTCTCTGCCTCTGATCCCTGGGTTAGAGACTACAGAGCTGGTAGCCTTAGGAAATCTTCTCTCCCAGAGAAGTTGTGTTTCTTCCTCTAGTTCAGACCCTTACCTGCCACCTGATTAATCTGATTAGAAATCTAAAAATGTGATAATGCTAATGTGATTCCTCAACTCTGAATTTTAAAAATCCCTAGTGCCTATGAGAGTAGATAAAAGACATTAAACCCAATTTCCTGGTTTGGATATGGCTCTGTAGCCCATGCCAAATGTCACCACTTGGGGGAGCTGTGAGAAGGGTATTGTTTCTCAAAATGGGATATGAATCTGCAATTATCTCAAAAAGCTAAATGAAAACCTACAGGGGAGAAGGGGCATTAAGTCAATGCCAAGATACAATGAGGGGCAGGGCAAGGAATTTAGAATTGTGGTTAGGGAGTAAATAAAATTGAATGAAAAAAAGCATATTTGATAGTTTAGTCCTGGATTTTGATGTCAAAGGAAAACAAGATATTGAGTGGCAGGCAGCTCAGGGAGTAAGCTGGACACAGGAGTGGTTTGGCTGAGCTGTCAGGGAGGCTGTAAATGATGGATTCACATGATGTCCGGAGAGCACACAGCTGCCCAGGTCTGGGCTTCAGGAAGCACATGGCCGCACCCCACCCACCAGGTGGGAAAACTAATTAAAAATGGGTGAATTTTGTTCCCTTAGTGCATCTTGGGGGCATGAAGACACCCTACTGAGCCATGGGGCGGGCTTCCTGGGAACGTATTACAGGATTTGCAAGTGTGGTCTTCTGAAAACATCAGTCATAACATTCTAGGCATGAAAGGTAAAATATAGTCATTCAATCCATTCTGGAAAAGCCCAGTTGGGTCAGAGTCCCAAAATTTTCTGTAGGAAAACCTGGTCACTTCGAACTGATCGTATTTACTCCTCCCACCCTGACATGTGTGCTTGTGGAAGGAATGACCATCGTGGTTGGATACAGAATAAAGCTGTCATGTCCTGCAGGAGGGAAGCATTCAGGCACCATCCAGCCCCAAATGGGCAGCATCCATTTTCTTTCTTACCTTGAATGTGTACCTTAGGAGTGAGTCATATCTAACTCTAGGGCACAAGGAGTCTCAGATCAGCTTCCCCTATACCAGTCCCTGGCAGCAGTTCTGTTCTGTGTATTTGGAAATAACTGAGCTATTCTTTGAAATAGTTCTAGAATTTTCACTTTGCCAGCCCATCCCCCCACCCCTCAATTAGGAAGACTAGTTAACACCAGCCTGTGACGGTGCCCATGGTGGGGTGGGTTTCCAGTTCTCCCTATTGAGCACCTTGGCCTCTCCATAAAGGAACATGATACTTCCTGATGGCAAAGACTCAAGGCCCAGAGAGATGGAGCAAGCTGCTCACCCCACATCCCATTATGCAAGTGTCTTTCCTTTGACTTAAGAGCATGATACCTTCTGCCCCCACCTCACCCCTGGCTCCTGAAGAGCCCAACATGCACCTGCCACTGGCAGCTTAGTCAGCCAAGGAAGAGGCATCATTGGTTCTCCATGACGAGCTCTCACTCATTCCCCTCCACGACAGGTGCATCCCTGAGGTGGTGACCCTCATCCTAAAGCAGTGAATGAAACTTTCAGAGACATGCCAGCACTTTATACTAGATGCTTTTAAACTTTTTTTAAAACTTCTATTTGTGCTGTGCATTTGATGACTTATAAGGGCTTTTGAGGGTGAAAGAAATTTAAATGACAACAAAATGTTTTAAATGATGCTACACCAGCTTTTGAAGGAGTCTCTCATAATAAACCTGTTGACAAGACATGACAGAGCACAGTGAACGGGAATAAAGACTGGAGACAGGGAAGTGATGGGTAAGGTACTGTCCCGGGCCTCTACACATATACATTCAACACTGTGCTACATGTTGACACCAGCCAAGATTTAAAATTCACAGGCCTTATCCTTAAAGCTTTCACAGGCTAGTCAGGCAGATGGATGTGCAAATAAACCATTGTCCAGAGGCTGCTGATTGTTATCGACGAGAGAGCGCAGGGCTTCCTGGAAGGAGCATCAACCTTGGAGCAGACAGACCTGGGTTTGAATTTCTCTCTCTCTCTCTCTATTCCTCTCTAAGAATAATAAATACAGATGGCCAATAAACATATGAACAAACTTAATTGTAATCACAGTAATGTAAATTAAAACAAAGGGGGAAAAACAAAATAAATAATAAAACGAAGGGAAACATTTTTTGTTCGTCATATTGGGATGTGGAGATAGCATCTGATATTGGCAAGAATGTGGAGAAACAGGCGCTGCTGTGCTGGGCGGTGAGAGGCTGAGTTGGTATAGTTCTTCCTGACAATCACTGGCAGCATCCATCACAATGTGAAACAGGCATGCCCATTAGAAACACTAATTCCACTTCTAGGCACCTGTCAAAGACACATGCGTGAAACAGTCACTGCAACACTGCAGGAGAGAAAAGCTAGAATAGCTGTGAGTCTCTTACGGTTCCCCCAGGCTGTGGAACAGCATGAGCTAATATAAAGCTGAGGCAGTGCCATAGATGCCAACATAGAAAGACTCCTGAGACATACCACTAACTGAGCAAAAGCAAATTGCAGAGACATCTCTATAGCATGATCACATTTATATTTTAAAAAACAAGTAACAGATATGTGTGGATATATATTTGTCCTCAAAGACAGATTCTGGGTGCACTGAGGAAGGAAGGGAAACACGCCCCATGTTGCCCACAGCAGCTGTCTCCCGGGAGGGAGGTGGGCTTTGGCTCCAGGTGAGAGAACGAGACAGAAAGACGAGCCCTCACATGGCCAGATTCACTTTTTTTTTTTTTAATATATCTTTATTGATTTCAGAGAGAGGAAAGGAGAGGGAGAGAGAGAGAGAAACATCAATGATGAGAGAGTCATTGATCAAGCCCGCAACCCAGGCATGTGCCCTGACCAGGAATCGAACCCCGATCTCCTGGATCCTAGGTCGACGCTTAACCACTGAGCCACGCCCGGCCGGCTAGATTCACATTTTACTCTGTGTTCTTTTTATATTGCCTGAATTTCTTTCAACGAGCCTGTATTACTTGAATTTGAAAAACAGTAAGTTAGGGGGGAAAAGCTGTTCTTCCAAACCCCTGACAGTAGGACCGCTGCTCTAGGCCACGCTCCTCTCCACCTGGACCGCTGTGCAAGCCTCCGAGCTGGTCTCCCTTCTGCCTTAGTCTGTTCCTGCTGCTGTAACAAAATGCCATAGACAGGAG